GGTAGATGCAAGGTGACCTGGGGAAGATCTGATGGCATCTTGCCACCAGCCCCAAAACTGACAGACTGAACTTGAGCAGTTCAGCAAGCAACATTCCTCTCATTCCAGGGATTTTCAGCTCATCCTCTTCTCCCCACCTTTGAACATGCTGCGCCCAACCCACGCTTGTCCTGGGGCACCTGAAGCTTTGTGAGTTGGCTCAATGTTTTCAGCTGGTTGGCTTCTTCAGCCGTTGGTGAGGCTGATTTTTCCGGTTTAGACCTCTCCATACCAGAAATCATGGTTGGAATTTATTGTGCACAATTTTAGTGCTTCATTCTAGTTAGCCAGCATACTTCCTTCCTCCTATTAATCCCTGAGGATTTTCCTACTTAATTGTTAGACAATTTTAGCAAAAAATGCCTTTGGTTCCCATCAGGATAGCCTTCCTCAACCTGAGAGATTTCAAGCAGCTCATACATACGGAGCGTGAAAAAGCTGCATTAACACATTTCTTGTGTGTCACTCTTGAACTAGGTAGCATACGTCATGTCATATTTTTGGTATCAGATGAGAGTACCATCAGGTTCTTTTAAAAGCTATATATAAGACTCCTAAAAACCAGCCAAAGATAATAGTTAGAGATTATATATATATATACACACACCCAAGACAAAGTTTAAGCGGGAGAACAGCAATCTTGGTCTCTAACTATTATCCTAGACTGGTTTTTAGGATGTAATAGACCTCAGCTGAGATATCGGTGTTTTTTTTAAAAAAAGAAACAGTCCTAGGTTTATATTTTTATTCTCTTAGTAAAAATCATCCAATATGAACCACTCAGCAGAGAGCTCAGCATTATTCTGGATAAAGTCTACCTCATACTGAAAGAAATAACAGTATAATACACAATACAGAATGGCACACAACCATTTCAGTGATCAGATGTGGCTTCCTTGGGCACAACATGTGGGAACAAGTGTTTACACACAAAAGACCCTAAACAAGGAAATGAAGTTGTTTCATCAAACTTGTAAGGATCTTTTCCCATCCAAGCAACAGTTCCTGAGTCCTCAACCCTCCAACAACAACAAGAATAAACAAGAGCCACAAGCATTGGAAGCAGCTGGGTGGAAAAACTGCCAAAATTGCTTCTCTTCCCAGTTAACCCACCCTGGTTCAGCTGCTTGCTGCTTTACAAACCACCAACAGGCTCTCATTGTCAAAAAAGCAGCTTGTGAACACTCTGGAAGAAAAAACAACAACAACAGTCTGACGAACAACAATACAAAAAAGTTGCTAAGACCCAAGAAAGAGTGCAAAGAAGAGTAACAAAGATGATAAGGGCTCTGGAGGGTAAGATGTATGATGAATAGTTGAGGGAGCTAGGCTTGAGGTACATCTAGTTAGCCCAAGGGTCTTCAACCTTGGCAAGTTTAAGACTTATGGACTTCAACTTCCAGAGTTCCTGAGCTAACATGACTGGAGGAGGAATTCTGGGAGTTGAAGTCCACAAGTCTTAAAGCTGCCAAGTTTGAAGGCCCCTGAGCTAGCCTATTGAAGGGAAGAATTACGGGGGACATCGTGGCAGTCTTCCAGTACTTGAGGGGCTATCACAGAGAAGAGGGGATCGGCCAGAAAACAGAAGAAGAAGCAATGGTTGGAACCTAATCAAGGAGAGATCCAACCTAGAACTAAGAAGGAATTTCCTGAAAGTGAGAACAATCTTGAAATGTTGTCTGCTACGACGTCCTACCTGTCAACAACTACGTCAGGTTCAACTGCAGTAACACATAGGCAAACAATAAGATACAAACTCCAAAGTAAACTGCTCCAAACATGATTGCAGAAAGTACAACTTCAGCAACAGAGTGGTCAACGCCTGGAACTCACTACCTGACTCTGTTGTTACAGCCGCAAACCCCCCAGCCTTTAACCTTAAACTATCCGCTATTGACCTCAACCCATTCCTAAGAGGTCTGTAAGGGGGCGTGCATAAGCGCACCAGCGTGCCTACCGTCCCTGTCCTACTGCTCCCATTTATCCATTTATTTGTACTAATTTATTATGTATCTACTTGTACCTGTTTATACTTACATATTTATTTGTACTAATTTATTTGTACTAATTTATTATGTATCTACTTGTACCTGTTTATACTTACATATTTATAGATTATGTTCATACTTATACTTGTTTTCTCATACATGCTTGACAAACAAATCAAATACATACATACATACATAAATACATACATACATACATTTCAGTGGAATGTATTGCTTTCAGAAGTTGCGGTTGCTCGGTTTTTAAGAAGAGTGTCAACTTAGTCTCTGACTAATGAATCCAAGCAAATGTATTATGTACTCAGTGAAGAAGACCTTTGTGAAGTATCCTAGTCTCAGAGTTCTGATTTGCTTTGGTTCATTAGTCGGAGCCTTGACAAAGAGATTGGACAGCCCTGAGACTCTGCTTGAGCTGGATTAAAAGACCTCCAAAGTTTCTTTCAATTTGTTGCTCTATGTTCTAACTTCCACCACCCCTCAGGCTCTACAAGCCCAGAGATCTTCTGTCTCTCTCCGGATCTAAATGCGCTAATTTACCACGCTATGCTGCCTATTCTCTTAGCATGGACTGAATTTGTTGTTCTAAAACTGTTGATTCTTTCCGTCCTAGCACACAGACAGCAGTCCCTAACCAGTAACCTCCGAGAGAAGGGAGGTCTTAAGTGCTCTTGGCTCATAAGCATGCAACTATCTCCTGATTAATGCCAAGTAGCAAAACAAAAGGCATTAAGTTTTAACATCAATATTAGGCGAGGATAAAAACACTTGATGCATTTTAAGATTTTAAGATGCCAAAAAAAAAAAAGAAAAAAGAAAATATGCAAAAGATTACATGCTTGGCTTTCACCTTAGAGCAGGGGTCCCCAAACTTGGCAACTTTAAGACTTGTGGACTTCAGTTCCCAGAATTCTCCAGCCAGCAAAGCTTGCCAACTTGCCAAGTTTGGAGACCTCTGCCTTAGAGAATCTCGGAATGTCCTGAACCAGCAACAGGATTGCCAATGACTCTTTCTCAATTTGAAAAGAAAATTTCTAAGGCTACAGACACTTCCTGTTACGGGAACTGTGTATTCGCATACACACTGTTAAATAATCATGCATTTTGCTTCCGTTTATTGCCATCTTTCCATAAGCCTGGCCTAGTCAGTGTATGAAGACCTAAAAAGGGTTTCTCCAGCCTCTGTCCAACCCTTTGACTACCGAGAGTCCTTCCAATCATTAAGAAAAAATTGTGTTGGCTTTAGAAGGGACTTCTACCACTTACACAACTCGACTTGAAATACAAGTGTCAACCCTGAAGCTGGCCTGGCTGCAGCCATCTTGGAGCTTCAGTACTGTCATACTAGAGCTGATGGATAGGGAAGGGATCAGAGATAGCTGGGGCTGTGGAGTCAAAACAAAGTATTTTCTCTTGGGAACCAAGGACATTCTCACACCTGGCCAGAGGAAGGAGGAATGATGTCACCAGACCAACAGACGCTGCCTTGATTGGGCCACGTGACTGATCGTTTGGGATTGGGAGGAAAACCTGTCACTTTTAATTAGGGGGACTCTTCAGAGTCGGTTTTCACCAGATATGTGTCAATATGATATTTCATATTGCTATTCTTTGAGGAATCTACCTGGCTCAAAGTTTTTGTTTGCAATGGATCTATTGGAAGCCTGACAACAAGAGAGTTTGCCTCAAGCATCCAAAAACTTCAGCTTTACACTCCTATATCACCCCAAACAAAGCTCTTTTCCCTTGTGTCTACCTGCATCAGAAGGACATGCAGGCCTCCTGTCATGCCCCCGTCAGAATCCAACTTGGAGGGGGAAGCCGAACAGCTGACAGGGAGTGGGAGTGTGGCTCTGTTAGCTGGGGAAGAAACTGGGGAAGGGCAAAGGCCGGCTGGGCAGAGCAGGAAAGAGGTAGAACAAGGGAGAGGGAATTTTGGAGGAAGATCCAGGCCCATCCCCTCTTCATCCTGGGGCATGCAGGGAGGAACAGAGAAGAGAGCAATGTGAGCTGCATGGCTTATGGGGGAGGAAAAGGCCCTGATTCCCTTCATTAGCTGGGAACACAGTGTTTAAAAGGGGAAGTTGCGCACAGCAAACTGTTGGGAGCAAATTGTGAGTTATCTGGTATTGTCAAGGCTTATCTGGGTTCCAGGCGTCTTCCCAAGTGTGTGCGTCTTGCTGGGCTTTCAAGTCTGCAATTTCTTCTCCTGCCCTGTCAAGTTAATTACTGCAGCATGTTTTTTGTGGATTTTAAATTACAGTTTGTATGTACTTTATTTTTGGACTGAATTTCCTCCACTTAAAGACTGTTCTTGGGAGAGTTTTTTTCTCCAGCTGAGAGCAACCTGGACACTGGGGGCAAAGTTGGAGGTACTAAAGGGACTCTTCTTATGTGACTGTATGGCCTTTGTGCCACACCCCGGGTCATCACATCTCCTGACCATTGGAGAGATGACTTTCCACCATGTCCCATCTTCTAAGTAAAAATAACGGCACAGAGACACCCTTGAATTGAGTTGCTCCTGGTGACAATATGGACAAATTCATTGAGGTGTCTCAGCCAACCGTACCGAAATGATTGGGGCTGGCTTTCCTCCAGGATGTTCTCTCATCTTTAATTTCCCAATCTAGCCTCCACCTTTGAGATTCCTTGGTGTCTCTCATCCAAGAACGAATCAAGCCTGATAGCTCAGTTTCCAAGCCCAGAAAACTTCAAGAAGGTTCTGAAGCCTGCTGAGGCCTGCCTTCCATTCCCTGGATTTCAACCACAATGATGGAAAACGCCAGGGGGATTAGCGGCCCAAGTTTGTTTCCCATTGGAAATGGCTAATCCATCACACTATATTGCACAAATGATACCTTCTAAGGTTGAGTTGCTCCTAAAGTCACCTGTGGGAAACAGTACCAGAGTACCTAGCTAGGTAGGTGATTTAGTCTTCACTTCTGATAGACTCACCTGTCCACTTGCAATTGCAGCTGCCCAGGGCTTTGCTTTATCTTGTTCTGTGCCTCCACATTCAGCATCTCAGAAGTACTTTCCCCATTGATGGAAATGATGACATCTCCAGGTCGAAGGTCACCCAGGGCGGCTTTGCCATGCTCTATCACCTGTGTGGAGCAGAAAGCAAAGAAGTCTACAATTGAAATGGGTTTGTTGGAAACAACATTCCTATTTTCATAACCATGCCAAGCAGTGGTGAGATTCAAATAATTTAACAACCGGTTCTCTGCCCTAATGATTACTTCCAACAGCCAGTTCACCAAACTGCCCAGAAAGTTAACAACTGGTTCTCCCAAACTGGTGCAAACTGGCTGAATCCCACCACTGATACCAAGGCAGAATTTTAAGGACAATCATATTTTCAAATAGCCCTGTGTTGCTCAACGTTAGCAACTTTACAACATGTGGACTTCAACTCCTAGAATTCTCCAGCCAGCTTGCTTGCTGGCTGGGGAATTCTGGGAGTTGAAGTCCACCCATCTTAAAGTCATTAAAGTTGACAAACATTATTATAACCACGGGAAACAGAAAATTCACTTTTTAAAAAACTAAACATGTCCTTCTCCAGCATCCAAAACAGGGATATTCCTCCTCCAGTATCCAGACAAGGATCTGTACTAAGTATTTCTCAGGATTAATTAGTGATGTGGGCTAAATTAACTCCTTCAAGAATCTGTCAATGAGGATTCAATCATCCAAGCTCAATCATTCAAGACTCACTCATCCAATCTCTTGTTAACAAAGGTTGGTCTAGTTGCCATGAATTAACCTTTACACTCCCTTCCAAGAATCCTTCCACTTGAACATATTAATAGCTTTGCAACACTATGTTTAATAATAAATGCTAATTATTTCTGACCGACTCCCTCAGTCAATTTAAATTTGCAAAGCGTAAAACATGAGCTGTTTTTGGAGGAGTACTCATTTCTCCTGGCAACATGTATTGTTTTTTTCATGCAAGTTTTTCTTCTCTACATCCCCGAGTAACGTAAGCAGAAACTAGCAGGCCATGCATTCATATCTGGAAACGAGAATGTGGTGCCCATATGTGCATGGCCTCTGGCTTGAAATTCTATGAGCTTTAGCACATCAAGAGGAGACTAGGGTGGGCTTCGCACAAAGCTGCTCTGTTCCTTAATATAGAGTCTGAGATCAGCCTTCCAGACAGAAAGGGGAAAAATGTAATTGTCAGGTCGAATAGCCTGAGGGTGAATCAGATCTAACTCACTTGATCCTCCTCTCTGACTGATCTCCACACACAAAGAGCATTTCGGAAACAACAGAGAGCAGAAAATAAAAAAGTGTCTTTTTTTTTAAAAAAAGTGTGGTCTCTTCCCTCTTTGCAGGTTTTTCTAGACAAATAATTGTGCAAGCCGAAGCAGACTGAAACTTTTATGCAAAGCAGTTGGTTAAAATGCAGAGTTTTGTCCTCCAAACAACTATAATCTAAGGCACCGCAAAGGGAAGGGAGGTGGCAGGAAAAGTACAATTTCTCAAATCACCCTGGGCATGCAAAGAAGCCCTTACCAAGAGACTACAACCAACCAATTTAGAAAGTTTTTTTTTATATACTGCCTTTGTTTTAATTTGCAAATTCAAGGAAGGAGCGGAAAGAAGTACCTTGAGGAATGAGAGAGAATCACAACCAAGAAAATGATCAGATAAAGGAAACCTGAGTTTGGGCCAGAACTGCAATCCAAGAAAGCTTCTCAGATAAAACCCTCCGTAGTTCTCACAAAGACAAAGGGGAGAGGCAGGCACATTCAGACATACAGGATTCCAATACTTTTCCTTATAATACAAGTAAAACTAGCAGGAAGGATCTGGTCTTCTTTGAACAGCTGACAAATCAAAGCAACAGTGAGAGGGTATCCTGGACAGATGTTGACCTGGATCCCAACTTAACTTCAACATCTTCTGCCATTAGTTTCTGGCATTGTGTTTTTTATCCCCTGAACTCCCTATATATTTATACTAGCTCGACACCCGTGCTTAGCTACGAAACTATGTGGTCGGGCTTCGTTTTTTGGGAGGAAATTAAGGGGAAAAAAATGTGCCTCTGACTACCAGCATCCATCGGTGTTCACCTGGCTAGCATCCTGTCAGTGTGTGAGAGAGTTGAGGGCTGTTTGGAAACTGAAAGAATTTTGCTATGTGAGGAAGGAGGCAGCAAGGAGCCTGGGCGTGGCTTAGCTCAACTGTTCTGTACTAAAGCTGCTTGGCCCTGTTGAAACTGAAACTCCTCTGCTTGTGTTTTGCATTTGGAAGCGATTTCTTTTCAGGTGGGGAGGGGGCATAGAACTCCTTAGCATCAGAGCGTGTTAATAATAATAATATAGGAAATACTAATGCTCTGGTGGTCATTCCAAAAAATCCTTTCTTAGTGAGCATCTAGATCCCAAGAGGAACATACATGCTAAATTTCAAGTTTGTAGACTTTATGGTTCTGGAGATTTTGTGATGATGAGTGACTGGTATTTCACATAGATAGATAGATAGATAGATAGATAGATAGATAGATAGATAGATAGATAGATAGATATAGATATAGATATAGATATAGATATAGATATAGATATAGATATAGATATAGATATATATAGATATAGATTGATTGATTTAAACAGGAATGCTATACATGAGTCTCTATTTCCCCTATGCTCTACTAGCAAGTTTATGATACGTGAGTAGAACTAGTAGTATTGCCAGAGATAAAGGGGTTTAGAACTCCCAAGAAAGATATTTGAGAGTGCAGTATTTTCTACTATGTGTCTTTCTTCTTTCCTGGGAAAGCATAGGAACGGGAAGGAAGGAAGGGAGAGCCAGCCAATTAATGGGGGAAGAGTTTTGCAAAGAATAAAAAGGTACAAGATGTTAAATTGGAGGGTACCTTCATGTATGCACCCAGTTCGTTCTTCAGTATTAGTAGACCAACTAAGGCAGCACATCTACGCTATAGTCCTTTCTCAGTCTTGCTTTAGAGTTGATCAAGGAAGCTTCAAACAAGGCTGAGAAAGAAATTTCAGAAACTCCACTTGCGTGCATGTCCACACTTTGAGACTATTCCAGAAGAGGACTTCTTGTTTAAAGGCTGTTGAGCAGGATCTGTTCTCTCCATTAGACTGAAAGGTCACCCTTGGCTCAATGCCCAGCTGAATAGACCTCTCTGACAAGACTTTGGCCCAACCAAATCTGGAATCCCTGGAGACACAAGAAATGTGCAGCATTCCAGGATGTCCTGCACAAATCCCACAAACATTCAGGGCAGGGACTGCCAAGCTATAGTCAAGCTCTTCTTGTTCACCTCTCGGTAGGAAATTCCATTCGGAGCTGCTAGCAAAAGAATGTTGTTGGTTGGAGAAAATACGAAAGCTCTGTCTTGGGTGAAGGCTCGCTACAGCTTCCAACTGCAATTTCACCCCAAATCTAGGTCTGGGGGTAAAGACACCACAATGTTTGCACTCACCAATTCTATACTTTTATTTTTTGCTTTAACAACATACACATTTGGTTTACATATCATGCCTATATTCTTAATGCAACGTATTTAGTTTGGGCTTAATATGTTGGGTATGTCCAGCCATTGTAGCTGGAAATCATGGCTTCTAGTTATCGCATCGTTGGCAGAGTCTGTAAACTTGCAATTCCATGACTTAGCTGATGGGTGAACCCAGCCAACTGTGGCTTACTCAGCAAATCTGATTTGAAGAAACCTTAGCTGAGAGAGCTATGCCAATGCCGAAACAAGTATGCCACACCTGTTCCATTTCTTTTGTGGGCCAGATTAGTCATCTATTCCAGCTAACATTCTATCATTAATAGCACAAGGTGCAAACCAGCAGAGGCATCCATAAGGATGGGGAAGACCAACTCCCAACCTTTGTTGAGATGTATAAGAAAAGCTGTAACTTCTCAATCTGAGCATCCCGTAGACGTGCCAGGATTGCGATGTTCAGAATTTTCCAGCAAGAAACTCATGGAACTTCAACCAAAACATCTGGGAGGCCATAGGTTGAAGGAGGTTGCCCCAAACCTTATGAGAACCAAGGACTATACTGCAGTAGCAATACCAACAGCACTTAGACTTATATACCACTTCACAGTGCTTTACAGTCCTCTCTAAGTGGTTTACAGAGTCAACATATTGCCCCCAACAATCTGGCTCATTTTACCAACCTTGGAAGGATGGAAGGCTGAGTCAATCTTGTCTCAATGGAAATCAAACTGTCAAACAGCTGGCAGTCATCAGAGTTAGCCTGCAGTACTGCGTTCTAACCACTGCACCGCCATGGTTGTTTCTCAACTTTGACAAATTTAAGGCATGTGGACTTCAACTCCTGTAATTTCCCAGCCACCACAACTGTACGGCTGGCTGGGGAGTCCTGGAAGTTGAAGTCCACACTACTTAAAGTTGCCAAGGTTGAGAAACTTTAGGCTGGAGGTACGAATTATTCTGGCAGGAGACAAAGGGAGCTAGCGTGATATGGCTGAGTAGAAAGCTTCTTACTTCCTTTCAATCTGCAGCAAGTGATATAAACAGAATGGTGGGGGGAGCAGAGACAGCAGACATGGAAAATGTGAATTTTCAGACAAAAGTGCATCAAGTTTAAGAATGACTCTATGCCTGGTGTGAACCCAGAAAATGGGTTAATTCAGTTACGTGGCCAGAATTTCGCCATAAAGGATATTTCTCAGAGTTCAAAAACTGGAATTGTCTACATAGTATGAATAGCAATCAGGAGAACAATATGCCCCCTCATCAGATTTATAACGAACATTAAAATTCCATTTGTGTCCCAAAATTTCATACTCGGAACCTGATGGCGTTAACGATAGAGTTGGTTTGCTCACCTTAGATACTATGATGGGTTTTCGGAAGTCTCTTCCTCCCGTAATCCGGAAGCCCCAGGGAGCTGGGCCAGTCAGATTCACACTCACCGACATGGCAGCTCCACTAGAGGCAAGGCGACCACAGCACCTGCAGGCCTGAAGGAAGAAAGGAAGACACTGTTAAAATACTGAAGTTTGCAGATGATACAACAGTGATAGGTTGTACAACATGCCTCGTGGTGTAACCGGAACAATCTGGAACTGAACACACTCAAAACTGTAGAAATGGTGGTAGACTTTAGAAGAAACCCTCCCATACTACCACCTCTTACAAATTACTAGACAACATAGTATCAATAGTAGAGACCTTCAAATTTCTAGGTTCTATCATATCACAAGACCCAAAATGAACACCCAACATCAAAAACGTCATCAAAAAAGCACAACAAAGAATGTTCTTTCTGCGCCAACTCAGAAAGCTCAAACTGCCCAAGAGGCTGCTGATCCAGTTCCACAGAGGAATGATTGAGTCTGTCATCTGCACCTCTATAGCTGTCTAGTTTGGTTCTGCAATCCGACAAGACAGACACAGACTCCAGAGGATAATTAGGACTGCGGAAAAAACTATTGCTACCAACCTGCCTTCCATCGAGGACCTGTATATTGCACGAGTCAAAAAGAGGGCTGTGAAAATATCTACAGACACCTCACATCCCGGACATAAACTGTTCCGTCTCCTACCTTCAAAATGACGCTATAGAACACTGCACACCAGAACAACTAGACACAAGGACAGTTTTTCCCCCAGTGCCATCACTCTGCTAAACAAATAATTCCCTCAACACTGTTCAACTATTTACAAAGTCTGCATTACTATTACTATTAATCTTCTCATCACTCTGTATCGCCCATCCCCTCCCACTTGTGACTGTATGACTGTAACTTTGTCACTTGTATCCTTACGATCTACATTGACTGTTTTCCTAGAGTGATTTGATTGCTTATTGCACCCTATCATTAAGCGTTGTACCTGATGATTCTTGACTCTTGACAAATGTTCTTTTATGTATACTGAGAGTATTTACACCAAGACAAATTCCTTGTGTGTCCAATCACACTTGGGCAATAAAGAATTCTACACAAGAACTGAAAATATTTCTATGAAAGGCATAGGAAGGTCAAACTCCACTTCACTGAGGGTCACATCAGGGCTGTGGTTGACCTTGGGGGGCTAGAAGGGGGCGTGATTGACTGGGTGGGCGTGGCTGACTGGATGGGCATGGCCATCTTGGAGCCATTCCCCAAACTGCTGGCCTGATGTTTCCTCACTGAGTAGAGCAGGCCGAAGTGATGCGGGCCAGCCCCTTACATTTTCCAGGACGGCCTCATGGGCTGGATCCTACCACAGTGTGGGCTGGATCTGGCCCATGAGTTTGACACCCCTGCAGTAAAAGAACCAGTCAATCGTGAGAGTTGCCTCGGGAAGGTCCAGCTGTTATTTATGCCAAAGGAGTTTCTTTTTCCCATATGTACAGTGCGGTACCGTCTATTGGAGTTGGGAAACCATTGACCCTCCACACAATACATTTTCTCCAAAATCAAAAGAAAGCAGAATCCAGAAGCAGAAGATGGTTTTACTGACAGACGTTACAGATTAATACAGCTAGCTTCTAATTCAGTTATACTTCTCACGAGATCAAAGCCCCCCAGAGTCGACCAATCGAGCCAAGAGCATCCACCAAAACTGGATCTAGTTTGCAAGTAGGATGAACAAGCTAACCAGAACAAAAAGAAAGTTCAAATCAGATCAATTCTCTCTGCCAGTTCGTTGTAATCAAATACTGGAAAAATGCCTTGCAAAAAACCTCTATTCCACTTATAAATTTTTCATATTTTTTTTCCACCACATTTTCTCTTTAGCGATACATTAACTCAATAAACAAAATACTAGTTCTGGTAAAAAGGAGGAAGCAACGGGCCAAGAGAATTGGAAGAGTTACAGGCCAAGCTCTTTCCTTCCTTGAATTATCAGAAAATTACTTTTTAATGTTTTTAGCAATGCACCACAAATTCTGTCTTCTGGAAGTATTAAAATTGTGGGATACACAGCATATTTTCTAGTGGGGATGAAGTGTTCTAATAATTCAAGAAGAATTTTCCCCCATACACAAAAAAAGAAAGAAAGAAAGAAATCCTTCGGTTGTGTAATTCCCCCCAAAAAATGTTGAGACAGCTTTTTTGAAAGCATTCTCTAGCACTTTACACAATAAAGTAAGTCCAATAAAAAAAAATTAGACTGTGCAGAAATGGACAGATTAACACTGAAGATCAACGAAAAAAGAACAGAATATTTTTGAACTTGGGACATGTTTTATCAATCGTTGGATAACAGAGGTACAAACTAGGAGTTTAATATTGTTATGTAAACAGATTGACTCAGACAGCACACCGTTCACTTATTGTATATAAAGAGAAAATATATAAAATAAATAAAACAAGTCTAATCTGTACCCACCTACGCCATCATGAAATTTTGCATTCCTTCACAAGGACCAAACCCCTAAATCTCAGTCACATTCTGCCTGAGATACCCCAAATCCCAATCTTACTTTTACAATCCCACTCCAAAACACCAAGAACCACAGGTATTTCAAGTACCTCTTGAGTACGTTGTGAAGCCCAGCTACCGCGTTGCGTAGCCTCCTTAGCGTGCCTCTAAAAGGGAACTAGGAAATGAATTGCATCCTATGATGTGTCAAACATTTGCCTTCCTGTCACAGATTCGCATCTGCCAATCAATGAGGGCTGCAAGCTCCTTTCTGCTAGACACCATCACCCAACCAGGAAACAACCTCAGTGCAAAAAGCTCTCTGCAGCCCTAATCAGATAAAAAAATACACCCTCAGGAGTCAGGACCACACCTTTGTGATGTGGCCTGTCCAGTTTGCACCGTATCTCACTGGTTCTTGACATATAGGGGCATGAAAGCAAAGTCAGGAGCTATTTTGGAAAGGTAAGTCATGACCTATCCTTGATCTGGAGTAGTTGCAGGTCCAGAATATCTCATTAGGGAACTCTCTATCCAGCCATGGACTGACCTCAGATTTCCTAACATGGGTAGGGATTCAACCGGTGTTACAACCAGTTCTGTGAGAGTGCATTTTGCATGTGTGTATGTGTGTGTGTGTGCATTTGCAAAAAATCATCAGCTGTGCCGCCCGGACAGCTGACAAGCGCTGCGCATGGGTACGCAGTGTTTGAAAGTCCTTTTCTTTCTTGCTTTTTCAACCTCAGCTGTGCCACGTGAAGCAGCGGAGGTTGAAAAAGCAGGAAAAAAAGGACAGCCAAGAGCCTGGGCAGTCGTTGCACCAAAACCGGTTCTGTGTCAGCTGCTCTTCGGAGCTACCGGTTCTATAGAACTGGGCCAAATCACTAGCATCCCAACCCCTCAACATGGGATCACCTGGATATATTGTGCTCCTAGAATTCTGGAAAACAAAACTTTTCAGAGTTCTGGAAACTTTTCTTCCCAAAGTTGGGGAAGTTAATCTGCCCATATATGACAACTTTAGCGAAAGCACACCCAATTTTACAGACTGTAAAACCATTGTTCATTTTAATTAGGTTCACTAAATAAACCACTGACTAGCTACTTGAACATGACATGCTGAATTATCGTAGCCAACCACATTTTGGATTAATTCAGCCCATGAAGTTGCTTATAGTTTCATGCAAACCCAGAAAAGTGGATTGAGTTAAACCGTGATTGAGTTAATCAGAGATAGCATATTATGTTGACACAACTAGTGAATTCACCCACTGTGATAAGTTAATTTGTTTTGACCATCATCTCACAAAACACAGATGTTTTGTTCATACATAATGTTTGACTATGATCCTGCTTTACAAAGTTACAGTGACTGGATTCATACCACATGGTAAATACTGAAACAAAAAAAACAAAACAGAAAAATATTTTTGTAGCTGAGTGTGATATGTGAGCGCTGTCAATATTTTAGCCTAAAATGCTTTGTAGGGCAGTGCAATTAAATATAACAGCAATGTACATTGTAGCCTTATGGCTTTGAGCAATGTTTCTCAATTTTGGCAACTTTAAGACACATGGACTTCAATTCCCAGAATTCCCCGAGATGTGTGGACTTCAGTTCCCAGAATACCCCAAAGAGCCATACAACCATGCAGACTGGGGCATTCTGGAAATTGAAGTTCACACATCTTAAAGAGAAATTCTTTACAAAAAAATTCTCCAAGAATTAGTGACAAAATCTTATTAGCCAATATACAGTATTTATTCAACATACCAGGTTGAAGGTTTTATTGACCATAGAAATAAGCATCAGAGCATGCTGTGATGGTTCACCTTGCAATTACATTTTTGGATGGATTAAAGCATGCCAACAATTCTTCCGAAATATGCTTAGCAAATGTGGCAGGTATTTCAGTCTGCTTCTTCCTCTATATGATATTTAGCTATACACACAAATGATACTTCATTATTTCACAGGAAGTCGAAAGCCAAAGGCAGCAACCACCATTGCCTATCCTTTCTGAACTACAAAACCTCTTAGGAGCAGTTGCCTTCAGAAGAGCAAGATAAGAAGAGTAAGATAAGACCTGTAACTCTTGCCATGGTGAGATAAGACCTGTAACTCTCCCCTTGTCTGAATGATAGTGGTTTATTATCTAAGCTCTGCCTTGGGCAGGATCATCTCTCTCATTCTGAGCTACCAGGAGGTGGAGAACAGAGGCATGAAATTTTTAGGAAGACGCCCAAGATAGGAAAACAGAGAAAGGAAAACTATTGAGGCCTCCCTTCATTCCAATAATGGCAATCCTAATTGCTCAACTGAGATAAATCAGAAACACAAGAGCTGCATAAACAGACATGCCCCCACCCACCCCATCAAGCGAAAGCAATTGTGACATCATCCTGGCTTGGTTCAAAGCCTTGGGCAATGCAAGACATGCTCTTTGGAGGTTCATCCTTTGATTTTTCTACAGGAAAACCTTTTTCAACTGGACCTGAACTCATCTCTACAAAATTCTTGGCATCTGAAGTCACAAAATCCGTTCCTCCAACGTTATTATACAACGGGGTGCTGTTGTTTTTTTGTATTTCTTTTCCAAATTTGCAATTGAAGTTCCCCCATACCACTCAATGGAACAATCAAGCAATAAGCATGTAAAGTCGTAAACCATTCCTAAGGCAGCCCAAGCCTTCATATATTATGCTTACTCAAAAGCAGATACTTTTGATTTGGTCTCAAAGCTTTATGGGAAGGGACATGGTGGCTCAGTGGCTAAGACGCTGAACTTGTCAATCGGAAATGTCGGCGGTTCGGATCCCTAGCGCTGTGTCACGGAGTGAGCTCCCGTTCCTTATCTCAGCTTCTGCCAACCTAGCAGTTCGAAAGCATGTAAAAAAAAATGCAAATAGAAAAATAGGGACCACCTTGGTGGGAAGGGAACAACGTTCTGTGCGCCTTCGAAGGCGTTTAGTCATGCTGGCCACATGACCACGGAGACGTCTCCGGACAGCGCTGGCTCTTTGGCTTTGTAATGGAGATGAGCACCAGGCCCTAGCGCTGGAAACGAGTAGCATGGATGTGCGAGGGGAACCTTTACCTTAACATTCACTGGGGTTCCCAATATCCCAAAATAGGCTGGAACTTAGGGATGGAAAATCATGTCTAAGGATATCCTCTCCCAAATCTCAGTTTCAAGCTTAAATCAAGGGGTTGTCCACTCCCGTAGAAAAAGATGCAGTAGACAGGGATAACGCTGGAGGGCTATGATAAAGGGACTATATATGTAGGTTTGCATTTATTGACAGCAGCAAGAACTGTGTTTGCACAATACTGGAAAAATGAGAACTCTCCATCAGATGAGGAGGAAGTAATTCGGAAAATATTAGACTGTGCAGCGATGGATAGATTGACATTAAAAATAAAGGATAAAGAAGACACAGAACGTTACTTAACATGGAATAGATTTTACGAGTGGTTAGAGATAAGAGGTAGAAATTAGATGAAGAAAGATTATTGCTATGTATGAACTAAATATAAAGATGGTTTATAATTATAAATATGCCAACATAACCAACAGAACTACAAACAAGCTAATATAAAGAGAAATCTAGTTAAAACTATTCTTATTTGTATATATATTAATATTCCTTTTTGCTCTTTTTCTGTAAATGGTATGCTCTGACAATACACTGTATTCAAAACGTATGTACGTATATGAATGCTTGTATGTATGTCGATGTATATAAAGAAAAAGACAGCAGGAATGTCATGGCCGAAAAGAAAGAAAAAAAATGCATCTAGGAAAACCTGACATTTCCAAGAACCCGGAACATCAGCAAGGAGCAAGAATAGCTAAACAGAAAAGCAGAAAGTTCCTTTAATTAGAAGAGCAAAGAAGAGACTCATTGAGAGGCACAGCAGTTACTGATTCAGGGAAGAGAAATGAGGTCCCTAGAGACACCTCCTATGACTTCCCACTCATCAGGAAGATTTTTTTGGGGGGTGGGTGGGTGTTGGTGGTGACACAGATAGAAAAGACAGGCAAAAGCTCAAGACTAGCAAAGGGCGTCCATAGCTACATACTTGGTTTCTACCTCTGTTTTGCAACTCAGTGTGAAAGATTCGCTGAGCTGGCCCATTCTCCCAGGAGAACAGGCTGGGCTGACATCTTGCAGATCAAGCTACACCTATCCCATTTCATGGAAACAAGGAAAAAAATCTGACTAGCAAAAGCTGGACCTTTGAAGTCAACCATCAATAGAGCCTCTACACCAAGGGGTGTCCAACCATGGCAATTGTTAAGACTTGTGGGACTTCAATTCCCAGAATTCCCCGGAATTCTAGGACTTGACGTCCATAGTTGGTATGGTGGCCAAGGTTGGCCATCCCTGCTCTACAACCTTAGCGTCATGAAAGCAAAAATGGAGATTGGCAATTTCACTCTTACTTCTGCGTGTATTCTCCAGTGAGTTGTAATGTTTTAACAACTTGTGGAACTCCCTCTTACTCATAGGTGAATTGATTAGATGGAAATTATAGACACCCACAAGCAGCACAATTAAGAAACATGGAGGCTTTAAATGGAGAAAACCAGATAGGAAAAGTGCAGAGAAGAGCAACCAGGATGATTAGGGGACTGGAGGCTAAAACATATGATGAACAGTTGCAGGAACTGCGCGTGGCTAGTCTAAGGAAGAGAAGGACCAGGGGAGACAGGATAGCAGTCTTCCAATATCTGAAGGGCTGCCACAGAGAGGAAAAGAGGGTCAAGCTATTTTCCAAAGCACCCGAAGGCCAGACAAGGAATAATGGATGGAAACTGAACAAGGAGAGATTCAACTTGGAAATAAGGAGGAATTTTCCTGACAGTGAGAACAACCAACCCATGGAACAGAAGTTGCCTTCAGAAGTTGTTGGAGCTTCATCGCTGGAAGCTTTCAAAGAGAGACTGGACTGCCATTTGTCAGAAATGGTGTAGGGTCCCCTGCTTGGGCAACGGGGAGGGGAGGGTTGGACTAGATGACCTTCAAGGTCCCTTCCAAACTCTGTTAATCTAGTCTAATCTAAATCTTCAGATATGTGGGAGTTCCTGAATGAGGAAGTGGACAACAAGGTTTCTAAGAAAGAATTGGA